AGTTTCCTATTTTGTATCTAGCCTTCTTTAAAACTAGTTTAGCTGCTCTATTTAGGACGTTTGGTCTTCCCCTTTTTTTGCCTTCAAAGCATTCATTTCTCCATGATCATTTTACCACCCAACATTCGGATTTGTCCAGTTTTTTGGCAGCTTTCTCAAATGCTAAGCCAGTAAATCGAAGTATACACGCTCTCACTCAGCTGAACATTTTTTTGAAATGGGGTTTATCTCTCATAATATTGACAAAAAACAAGGAAGACGTTCGAGCACTTCGGGCTATAAAGTGCAAAAAATATGAGGTGGGAAAATATACGTGCACATGCACCTTTGGCGCAGAAGTACACAAATCGAATATTCGAGCCAAAAGATGACACAACAAGTAAGAAATAGTGAATTAGATTGAACGACACAACTTTTGTTCAAACGATTTGCTTACTAAGTCCAACCGTACTGCATTACAGACTTATGTAGTAGAGGAATGAACTTTTGGGACACGCTGTACAGTGTGTTGTTGTTGGCCATCGTTGATAAGGATTGATAGTCCTAATCCTTATCTTGAACAAAACTCCAGTTAAGGGTCGTTCATTTAATTTTTCAAGGTTATCCGAATCACGTTTAGAACAAAAGTAATTATTACAACTTAACTTAGGTCAAAATCAGAAGTTTTGTAAAATAAGATAAGTAGTTTTTACGTTATGAATTTATAGACTATTATTGTGCCACTCGGTAGCACAGTAATTAAGATGTGAGAGAATAAACAAATTGTATAACTTTAACTCAGCATCAAGAGGAATAGGGCTTGTGAATCTATTGTATACACTTATTTGTCTACTAATTTTGCGGCAAAGGCCAGCAATATATCAGGTTTGTCGTTATCACAACGACGCTACACACGGACAACATGAACAATAACAGTTTAATTCTACACGAAGAACGTCCTATGTGTACATCTTCAAATCTGGCACTGATCCCGCGACCACTTCACGACCACGTGGTCAGTAAAACTACTCTCGCTCATGCGCAGTACAATAGGCCAGATTAAGTAATGTACTTTTCTCTCATGACAGTCTTTAAAGGTAACTCCAAGTAATTTCATACAGTTTTCTTGTTTAAGTTCTTGATCTGCGCATGAAGAACGTTTGTAACATTTGAATCTAGTAAATGGCTTACTAGCCTATCATCAGTTTCTTTTTATCATCATACAGTACTCTACCATCACTGCCAATCCTAGCAGCATAGATAGATAGATTCTTTATTGAAACTCGCTTACAATATATAGCATACTGGTGCTAGTTAGCAAAAACTACTAATTAAAGCTAAATGCTAGAAACACATATATTGTGCAGATTCTAATATACGAACATTGGAATCGTGAACTGAGTTCCTTGAGGGTTACCGTGTGGCAAGAAATTTTTGCGGGAGTTTACTTCTGCGGATTGGCAATTGTTTGTGTTTTACAGGAACTAATTTTCGCGATAAGGACAGATTGTTTTTTCTAGCTGGGTGTACTGAGCATTGATAATATTTTCGTTTTTATTGAGTACGTAGAATAGAAATACTTATTTTCAAACAATAAACCAGTATTTCGTTGTATACCATTTTGAAAGAGAGAAGTTCTGATTGAACTGACACGATTTCTTAGTACTGTATTTTTATGTATTGAATTTAAGTTAGAGAATATTTACTCTAGAGTAAATTATTGCGGGAAAATTGTTTGCGATAATTTTTATTTTCGGGAACTTATTTTTGCGGATCGCTGGAAAAATTACAAAAATTAGAACCCGCAAAATTTTCGTGCCACACGGTATTTCATATCCTATCTGACAGTACCGCACTACAGTACCTTCGCACACTTTTAGTCAAGCGTGTAGTTAACGTTAAATGTGTTACATACTCTTTCAGTTAAGTGTTGAGTGTTATGGAAATGCAGAGATGTTTGCTAACTTGTAAAGACACCGTAAGAAACAGTTTAATTTGCTGTATGTACTGACATCCTCTCTCTTTACTAAATGGTGATACTTGTGTTAGCAAGTTCCTAACCCCTTTCTTTGGCATGTCCTGTAAAAAGCAGCCTTTACACATCTTGTTCCTTTCATATATTTCTTTGTATTTAAATGAAATGTCAAATACTGTTTACTGCATGTCATACGTATCTTCGTCTCCGAAGGATAATCATTATGCTAAAAGTGTTACATACTCTTTCTTTGAAGTGAGTAGTTGTACGTATACCCTACATATAAAAGCTGTAATGGGTCCCGAATACATGGTAATACGGATAGGTTTACTGACTTTAAGGAACTGATTTATAAGGATTATGGTGTAACTAACAGTATGATGCTTATGTACATTCTTATTTGGTAAATGGTGGTACAAGTGTTCCTGATACTTTTCTTGGTAAGTCCTGTGGTGCAGTGTCTACAATTATAGTTGACGCAGCCTGTTTTTTTTTTTTTCGCATTCTTCATTAATAATAATAATAATAACTTTAATAGTAACATCCTCGTGAGGTTTTTCAGGAACTATTTACAAACTATTTCCAATTTATAAAAGCAAAAATAACAATAAAAACTCGAAATCACAATTTATGATGGTATTCTATTAAAATCTAACGCTTATGAAGGAAATGTCTGCCTCAATAGTGTGTCTTTCAGGGCGCGCTTGAAAGATGCCAATGAGGCACTTTGCCTAAGTTCATTATGCAAGTTATTCCATATGTAGGCCCCTCTGTAGGAAAATGTGCGCTGGCCTATAGCCGTTTTGTATAGCGGAATCTGCAAAGAGTTCCGTGTACGAGTGTTACGAGTATGTATATTTGAGCGCTTGGTAAACTTGCTCGTTAAGTATTGAGGCGCAAGATCGTTCTGACATTTAAAGGTCAAAACGGAGTCTCTATAGAATAACTGTTCTTTAACAGGAAGCCAGTTTAGCTCTCGAAGCAAAGGTGTTACGTGGTCAAACTTCCTAGAGTTTGTTACGATCATTGTATATTGACTGGTTCGACCTGAAAAAGGGGTCGTACAACGCTATTTCATTGCTACCAGATCGACATGTTTAACACTGCGTGTCTGCATACACAATGGTGACGGTGGCTATAAACCATCAAGAGTTTACGCTACCAGGACTCTACATACATTTGGTTTACTTACCCTGCCGGCTTTCCGGAACGCTACGGTACAATTATCTTAGGAGCGAATAGACTCCAACGCAAGCGTTTTTAGGGTAGGGAGGAAATATGACTCCCCCAAAAACGCCTGCGTGGAAGACTAACAGGTGAAGGCCGCTTTCGATAAATGAAAGGACAGTTACCTGATCAATAGAAACAGTTGTTGAGAGATTGAGAGAAATAGTTGTTGACTATCAGAAAAATACATAAACTTGTTTTTTTAAAAAAGTATTTATTCACAACTGTATTGACAATTCAAGCCTGATCACGGGTAAATTTATATGTAGTGTTATTTCTATAACAAGAGTTGTGTAATTAAAACAACAAAAACAAAGTAAATAAATGACGTTCCTTGATAACTAAAGTATTTTTTAAGCAAAAGAACACCTTTGCTGTGTTTGGATTGGCTGATATAAACATGCACGAGAGGGTTTGGGAGAAATTGAGACACTGTGTATACACCTATTTCAATTAAGGTTGCTCCCGTAAACCATGTTTCATAGTCTGCACTGCACTATGGTAAACCCTTTTTAGCGGGAAGTTTAGAGACTATTTGTGAAAAGGCGTTCAAGAGAGCTTTCAAGTCAAATGACTGCTAAGATTCTTAAACATGAGCGAGCTGAAAAATTTCATTTTTAAAATCTCATGGTAAAAAATTAGAAGCCTCTTCTTTTAACAACATTAAATGAATAGGATTTACCGCCTGATTAAGCTGCGTTTTTGCATGGGCCAGAATACTGGTTATTTCAATAAAGCACATCAACGCTATTCTTTTTTTTTTATTATTCAGTTTTAAAAAAATTACCTCAAAAATAGATAAACACGTAATGTTAAGTTATTTATTTTTGTTCAACAAACGCCTTGAGTTTGATTTTTTTAACTCCATTCAAAATTCCGCACGTGCACGAGCCAAGCAAACTCGTTGAAAATTTGCGGCATTTGCATATTACCACAGAGAAAAACCTGACCTCAAATCACTGTCTTAAATTAAAAAGCCTGGGATTCAGTGTTTTGGAATGCATTGTCTTAACGTTCTGCTGACATAGCATAGAAGCGTTAGCAGCGTTTGCTTTCTTTAGGTTTTTAGGCTCGCCTCGCTGGGGCACATAATTTACTAGAATTCCTACAATAATACACCGCGGGCTACGAATCATGGATCATGCATCATTCTTCTCGGAAGCAACCTTAATTGAAATAGGTGTATATCAGTCTATGCAAACACAGAAAAAAAAGGTTTTCTATAATTTTTCTGTGAAGAAAAGCAAAACTGTTCGTTTAAGGCACTAATTAAAAGAAAAATTCTTACTAGTTGCAAATGTTGTTACATACTCCCATGCAAACACTCCTCTCGGCCAATCAGAGCGCGCGTACTAACTCAGTCATTTTATAATTTGTAACCCAAATTTGAAATCTCAAAGTCAAACTCCTTGGTTAAAATATTTATCATAATTTACCTGTAACCACATATAAGAACCTGTACGATCTTACTTGCCTAAACATCAAGTTCTTGTATTTTTGGGTATTAAAGTGGCAAATTTCTTCCAGGACTTTCTTAACCCACTAGGTTCTTAATCGCGGGTTTTACTGTATCTGTGTAGGTGAATATTTAAGAGATCTACCAATCCTGAGGGCTTAGATATTCTTCCATGTTCATTCCCGAGGACTGTGGTCTCGAGGGATTTATACAAATTGACGATTTATAATTTTTATTTCATTGTTATTATCATTGTTGTCTTTATTTTCTTCAGTGACATATTGGCAACAAGGAAGAACTGAAGAACAACTTAGGAGGACAGAGGAGCAACGTAGAGTAAAAGATGTGCGACTCAAAGTAGATGATGAGCAAGTCCGAGAAAAAGATCATCAAGTGAGGAAGAACGATGAGAAACTGAGGAGAACAGAAGAGCAACTGAGAGTGAACGATGAGCAGCTTAAAATAAACGAGAAGCAACTTCGAGAAAAAGACAAGCTAGTGAGGGAGGAAGATAAGCAGCTGAGAGAGAAAGATGAGCAGCTTAAAATAAACGATGAGCAACTGCGAGAGAAAGACAAGCTAGTGAGGGAGAAAGATAGGCAATTGAGAGTGACAGAGCAGCAATTGAGAATGAAAGAGAAGCAACTGCAAGAAAAAGACAAGCAAGTTCAGGAGAAAGATGAGCAACTGAGGAAGACAAGAGAGCAACTGAGAGTGAAAGAGGAGCAAAACCGTAGTTTACAAAGACAGTTGAGCACTTTAGAAGGTAATAAAAAGAGAGAAAGCGCTAAATTCCAAAAACAATTAAATGTGAAGGTGCAAGAGCTGACCTACTCACGAAAAGAGTTAAGAGATCGGGAACAAGACATCGTTGAACTCGAAAGAGACCTTTCCACAGCTAAAGAAAAATTAACTGAATATGAAAGTCAGTTAGAGGCACGAGACTGGGTCCTTTGCCGAGACAAAGTTCAGTTAAGTGATGAAAGTCTTGGGGTGGGGGCGTTAGGACGAGTTGTGAAAGGTAGATATTGTGGATGTGTGGTGGCTATAAAACAGCTTCATCAACAGACTCTTACTCAACGAGAGCGCCGTTTGTTTGAACGGGAAATGGATATAGCCTCAAGGTGCCGCCATCCTTGTTTGTTACAATTCATTGGGGCTACCCAAGACGAAAGACCTCTGTTTGTTACAGAAATCATGGAAAAAAGTTTACGAAAATTGTTAGGGGAGCGTCAAAAACAGAAGCAACATCTCACCGAAACAGAAATCATTTTTATATCTTTAGATGTTGCTCAAGCCCTAAACTACCTTCATCAACGAAAACCTGAACCAATTGTACATCGTGATGTGAGCAGCGCTAATGTGTTGCTGTGGAAACAGAATAACCAGTGGAGAGGCAAACTGGGGGATTATGGAACTGCAAAATTTCTTCAAGAAACTATGACAGTTGCTCCTGGAGCTATGATTTACGCCGCACCTGAAATAGGTTGTCCTTTCAAGCAAACTGTGAAGGTAAGTCTAATATATAGATTTAGCCAGGGCTAAAAGCGAAGCCCCATTAATAAAATTTATGATTTAAATCAAACAATAAACTTATATGTAATTCACAAATCACTTAACTCTAGGGCACTTTCTGGTGACTATTGAGGGAAAGACTAAGTTATTTTAGAGTGAAACATCTTACATCGAGTTGATAGCCTTAATTGTATGTACACCCAAAAAATAGCAAACATCTTCGATCACATTCAAGAGGCATAATGGCTCTTGATCACAGTAGATAAGGCCCCGAAAACAAATTATTGGAAAACAAATCAGGCCGAATTTTTTTGCGTTCGACAGGTTTACTTTACAAATTCTTGCCGATAAATCTGGGGGTGTGTACTGAGGTGAAACAGTACGTACTATTTATCATACAGACCTCAGACAGAAAGCGGTATTTCACAATTTTTCAAGACAAATTGCACTCAGTCAATGTTCAGGACCATCAGCCGTGGGCTTTTAGCGAAACCGTTCAAAAACTTTCACTTGGTAAATTTCCAATATCACCCATACGGCCAGCCGGTTCTCATTTCTAGTGCGAGCTGTCAGTGTGGTCGCGTGTTTAAATGAACTTTAATAGAGTTACGCTTCAACATAATAACAAATTTATTATTATCATTATCATTATTTTTATTTAATGGTTTCAGTTATAACAATGTGTAATCTTATAAAGCGTTTGATACGCGCGACATTTTTAAGTACTCCATGCTAGCGATGTTCATGAATGATGAAAACAAACGGCAAGGACTAGCGATTAAAATTGCAAGAGAGACTACTAACAATCAATACAAGAAATATAATTCTGTGAAACATTTACAGAGACAACAATTTTCATTCACGAAGACAAGTATTAAAGTATCTCAAAAAATCCTGAGTCTTTAAACTTAAAAGTTAATTATGTTTTACTTTCAGCCGGCCTCCCGGTGTTTGCTTTTTTACAAGATGAACTCCTCGAAGCAAGGAAATCGCTCAAAGTTTTCTCTCTAGAGCCAAGTTAATAGCTAAATATTACCACGCGCCTTCAGAGCTAAAGGTGATAGCATGTGTCACGTGTAACCTGTGGAAGATTGCGTGAAGGGGCTCCACGGTAATTTATTCAAATTACCAGACACGTAAAACAACACCAAGTTACACGTCTCTTTTAGAACCATCTTTAGGCCGCAACCGTTTTACGAATCAGCGGAATGTTGAAATTTCAGTTATTTGCTAGTTTTTAAGTCATGTTATGAAGGTGGGCTGCAGAGCCTTGCATCACGAGAAAAAAATGGACACTGAAAGGTAACTTTGTAAAAATCCAGGAATTGCGTTTAAAACTCAATTTGTAGAAGTGTCATTTGCAATCAAGATTCCGACTTCTTGTTATGTTCATTTTTACTAAAGTAAATCTATCATCTTACCTAGTTTGTCGATAGTTTATTGGGGCAGTTCGTAAACAGCTCTTGAAGCCTTTTGGGCTTGACCAGCCGGAAGCATTTTTACTTCCGAATTTAAAAATGATCACCCGACGCGATCAGTCAGTTGCTCGGTTTTCAGGAATTTTTTCTTTTCAGTCATATTTTTCAACGGACAATTTCGCGTTTTTAGCTTTTCAGGTAACAATACCTATTCAGGTGCCGAAATTTCCATCATTTCATAACGCTTTGGTTGGCTAGAAATAACTTTGGTGTGATTTTCTCGTTTGTGTACACGGTTTTCGCTTCGTTTACATTTCACGTTCTTGTCGCTCACGGTGGCCCAAGGGACTATATTTAAAATTTTATTTTTCGCAAGCGTTTAAATTCTCAGAGCTGAAACTTCAGATCTAGTTAAAAGAATTACAGCTCTTTCATGTAGTATAATCATATTTTAAATTTGAGACATATCAGAATCGACTTTTTGCGATTAAAGTTGGGCGTTATTTCGACCGCCAAAACACCATCAAGGTGCAAGCAATGAAAGCCCAAAACTTTATTACAAAAGTTATTTTGGGAGACATTTTTATGCAGTCTTAAAGCTTTGAGTAACTGGTAAATGCATGTGCAACATCAAGTCAATAGGAGCTTTTGCGCGCTTGTACTGCTTCCTTGAAAATTGTTGAAATTTGCAGCAATTTCGCGAATAAAAAATGTATTTTTATCGAGTTTTCGAACTTTTCCAAATTTCTCAAAATGTAAAGCGCTTGGGGATTTCTTAATATCATTTCTTGAAATAGTTCACCTAAAGGGTTGTTTGGATGGTATTAGCCCAAATTCGAATTTTTACAACTGATTTGAGATTCTCGATATTTTCCGACGTTGGCTCTTAAATCCAGTGTAGATTGAGAAATTGCCTCAATATGAACAACACTAATATCTATTCCAACTTCTCATGTAGTTATTATAGCTGTGGAAGAATGGTTTCTTTCATACTGTTGTCACCACTGACGCCAGACTTATGACCGTTCCATTTAAAGAGCAATTTGAGGAGGGTTGTGAAAATGTACATTTTGTATTGCTTCTATTGATTTTTCCAACCTATTTTTCTGTGAAATTATCTAATGCAGTGTTTTTTCTTTATTTTAGTTATTCAAGCAAAAACGAGAAATAATACCTTTTCAGGATCCTGATATTGTAATTTAGCAGCTTTTGCCTCTATAACGGAGCCTTCAGGCAAAACAAACTTCACTGTAACTGTTCGTGGTGAGGTATTGGCTATGGTGAAGCATATTTCAAGGCCATCGACTGGCCTACATTAGAGAGGTTTAGGGTGAACGTTTATGGCAAACGGAAACGTCAGATTCAAGTTGCGAATTTCTCAAAATAGAAAACGAGCAGACAAAAATACTCCAAAACAATTTTTATGGATAAACCTAACGTGAAACTACTAATTTTTGTGTAGAAGTAATGAACAATAGAAGACAAGTAAATGGAAAGCTTGGTTACGTGCCGGTGGGTAGTTCCGAAAACGAAGCACTCGAAAACGAAGACCGAAGCACGAAGCATGCACCCAAATCTCGAAAACGAAGCACCCAAATCTCGAAAACGAAGACCCCTAGATCGAAAACGAAGCACCCAAAACTCGAAAACGAAGACCCCTAAAACTCGAAACCGTTCTGTCCTTTATAAACAGAGACCAATGCTAATACAGCAGGAATCAAGCACGATAACGAATCGAATGCAGTTCAAATCTACTCAAGTTGTAAATGCATTTTCGCTGCTGCGTGGAAGGCTATGTTTTGGACGTGATCATAAAACCGAGAACTCCCAAACTATTTCTAGAATGTTACTGTATTGTTAGTAAAAGCCAATCAGGCGTTAGTCTCACGCACACAGCCGTCCTTTGTCTAGTCACGGCTGCGTGGGGGACTAATCAGGTGTGAAAAAACCTCAAACACTAACGGAAATTGATTTTCCTTTTGTTGTAGTTGAAATTTTGTATAAATTTTAATTCGTTGCTTACACGTTGTTGTCGTTGAGATGATATTATTGTTTGTTACATGCCATTTGATTTTTTTATGCTTTTTATCTATTTGAACTGCGCCTCCTCACTGAGTTTTTGGGTGCTTCGTTTTCGATCTAGGGGCCTTCGTTTTCGAGATTTGGGTGCTTCGTTTTCGATGTAGGGGTCTTCGTTTTCGAGATTTGGGTGCTTCGTGCTTCGGTCTTCGTTTTCGAGTGCTTCGTTTTCGAAACTACCCGTGCCAGTGTTTCATTTCGTGTTCTCTGTTTTTTGTAAATATGACTATGTTGGAGGCCTTAAGATTGAGGTTTTTCGGTGGTTCCCGCCAACTGCGAACGTCGAATCACGTGACTAGTGCCTCGCCGTCAGGTTGGCGATTTGAGTTTCTCGTTTGTACGGCTGGACCATGCTCTAGGGGATTAACCACAAGCTTTTTTTGCACCCTAACACATCACAATCCCACGTTTGATAGGTATACCACGTTTTAGAACTTTTTTACTTATTAATCATTGAATTCTTTTTCATCTGAACTTAATTTTGAAGACAATCTCTCACCTAAAATTGCGGTCCATGAGTTAATCAAATAAATGAAAACGAACACGGCAGCCGTGAGCTACCACCCACTAATCCTAAGACCCAAATATGGCGAGCAGATGGCTAACGTAAAGCCGCTAACCTCGGTTTGCCCTGTTTGCGTCAGGTGGTCAAACCCCGATGTTAAAGTCTCTATTGTCAGATTCCCACCCTCAACAGAGATATTGGGCATATGAAGGTTTCATGACCTTTTGTAACGTTACAGGAACAGATAGCTAGTAAAAACAAAGATGTACTTTAATTCAGGTTATTTGTTTTGTTGTCTTAGATTGATGTTTACAGTTTTGGAGTTCTTTTCTGTGAAATGTGCATCGGGGAACTGCCAGAAACTGAAAAGCGGGAGGAACAAGCGAGACTGGTACCTAACAAAAAGTTTGGAGAGCTGATATTGTGGTGTATTGAAGAAGATCCAGAAATGAGACCCAGCATGGAAGAGATTATTGAGAAGCTGGAGCAGTTAAATAACAATTCTTAATGGTGACTGCTGACAATAGTTATGAAGAACGACATAGCAGTTGGAATTTCAAGGCCGAGAACTCGGTACACGCTAACATTATGATGCCTCCATCACCGTATTACTTTATAACAACTTATGACAGATACAGTATGGTCAAGGTATAAGCCAAAAATGACTTAGTATATTCACACGAAGTGATCTCAACAGAACCTGAAAGGAAACCACTAAAAAACGATTAGTTTGATTGACGGGTGAATTCCTGCGTGAACACAAAGCCGTAAACAGTGGATGCTCAAAAGTTAGATTTTTACAGTATCTTCAAACATGGCAAATGATAGTTTTAATCTTTTTGTATCGAGTTTTGTAAGCTTTAGCATCAACGGTTTTAAAGAAAACGCCGAAAATTTAAATTACTATCCAATTCTGAGAAGAAAAGTAGAGCTTTATTTGTTTCTGTCAACTCACCGTGAATGAGAAAGTTTTCTTTGTCGCTTCTTGCAAATGCTGTCAACAGCGGCTACGATCAAGGTGAGCGTTGTTTATCTCCAAAGTTCTTTGCCTTGTTAACTTGCTGGCACGTACAATTTTCGAAAATATTTGCCTTCCTCTTTTCTCCATAAATTAACTTCTATTTGTAGGCAAAATTGGTCTTGCGAGAAAATCCCGAAATCACAAAACAGTGACAAAGCGACCTCGTTTTCCGCTGTCGTGCTAAACATAGCATCGATGGGACAAAAAGTCAGCTACAGTAAACCACTCCACAATAAATCACGCTGTTTAAACACCATGAAGTCTTTTCTTACCTTCAAAGTCATCAGCACTTGGATATTCGTGTATTTTCAAAAAGGCTTTACTATGAAACTTTGGCAAAACACCCAGTTCTCAACAGCGATTCTGTTCTGCTTTATATTCACTGCCTAGCGCGGTGAATATAACGTCATAGTCCGAGATAGCTAACCAATCAGATTACTTGAATTACCAAGATCACTGAGTGTGTACATACTAACAACGGTTATTACAGTAGGGACCTTGCGATGTGAGTCCGGCGACACCAGTTAAAACGTCACTGGAAATCTTCGTGTCCGGCTTGTAAAATTTTCGAATTATTACAGCTCGTTCAGTGTTTTAATAACATAGCACAAAATTAAATTGGTCGTCTTGTCGTTCACGTTCTCAAGAAAACTTGCACATCTCCCATAATATACCTTGTTTGACCCCCAAAATTTACTTAAGCATTAATTTTCTTCAATTTCTCTTGGGGCGACTGCAATAACGAGAAGTTTAAAATAACAGTTATGCATTTTTTTCTCGGGAGGGGGGGGGGGGAGACTGTTAATAGTCGTTAAGTATTGAAGTTGAGAATTAAATTTGCATATTAGTTCACAGGCAGCCCAGACGTAGTATGTGTCACTGAATGAATATATTTATATTCACATGGACAAATTAATGCGATGAGTCGTCGAAACTCCCATGGACTAAAATAGTCTAAACGTCAAAATGTAACAAAACAAAGCTAAGATACCTTCAACTGAACGTATCCTTGTCTTTCCTGGCCGGTTTAAGTGGCATTTTATTGAGTTTTGCAATTGTAGGTACTATCCACTAAAGAAGAATTAAAGGCTGGCTACAAAACAAACAGACCATCTCTACGCGCCTTCACACGAAGCGCTATAAATTCGAGAATAATCGACGAATCCGCTCCAAATAACCATCGGCTAATCTGCAGGTAACGTGTGCTCCTGCTTCTGGCTCGCTTACTCCACAAAACCCATCGCAACTGCACAATAATTGCTCGCTCATCAACAACCACTGTTGACCTTTACGCTTCGATATGACCGCAACCGACCAGGTATAATACGCGACGTGAATATTCAAGCTTAGCGACCGCGTTCGCGCAACAATGCAGCACTTGCTATGGGAGGGATGGTTCTATTGCTTCCAGGTCAATCAATCGGGAAAATAATATTGAAGCCCTTGTAATTTTTCAAAAGATCCAGTTTGCCCAAGGAGCACCGAACAGATACGAATCTTATAGCGGAGCTAAAAGAAATGAGCGGCAGTGGAAAAAGTGAACAAGAACATGTACCACATTTTCTCCATAAAAAGTGAAAACCAGGAAGTTTTCTGGACGTTTCACGTTGCAGTCATGCAAATCAACGGCTAGGAAATGTACAAGAAAGTCTGCTGCAATTAGATCTATTGTTGTTTTTCACAGTTCTGTTCAAGGGCATCCAACTTTTAATTTTTCACATTTCACTCACAGGGTTAGGCTACTTTTGGTAGAGAGTAAAATGGAATCCTAAAATTTTCCGATTCAAAAATGTGATGAAAGAAGGTATCTGAAAAATTATCTCCTTCGTAATAGGGTAAATTGCATCTAAAATTTTCGGGAAAATAATTCTGAATTCCTCGTAATTTCGAAAAGACTCAAGTTCCTCTAGAATGGCCGAACACTGAGATGCAAATTTTATAGCGCCACTTAGAATGCATTTCTATAGAGCTAAAAGTACTTTATGAATGGCTACAAAAGTGTTTTCAGTTGAAAGTATTTGAGGAAATATATATTTTATATTTAGTATGAGCAAGCTATAAATCTTTAGCTACGCTTTTAGCCCTACTGACTAAATTTATGTAAGCGCTGTTTAAAATGCATTTTTCGATCAAAAGTACTCTGGACAGCCTTATATGTGTTTTCAATGCATGTAGAAGGAAATCATCGTTGGGTGCCCCTGAGTTTTGAGAATAATAATAATAATAAAAAAAGATATCGCGCACATAAATTTTACTTTACGATATCTTCAGCTGTATCTTCTATTCAGCTGCATAGCGGGGACAAGATTTTGCCTTTTTCCTGGGCGGAAAATTCTCGTCCTCCTTCACCAGTTTGGACAACATATTATGGAGTAAGACGTTGTTAATCTAAGCAAATAAGTCTGGTAGAGTCAGAACCTATGCAAGCGGCTGGACGAACAATGTGACAGCAGCTGAGACTGCGAACGTTAGAAGAATTCGAAATTGAAAACCAGGGCTGCCCTGTTGAAAACTTACAGACGGTCCCGCGATCGCCTTTTGTTTTCTGGTCAAAACTAGCGCAGCGAACCATCGGTCAGTCGATTGACCTAGAAGCAATAGTACCATCCCTCCCATAGCAAGTGCTGCATTGTTGCGCGAACGCGGTCGCTAAGCTTGAGCATTCACGTCGCGTATTATACCTGGTGGGTTGCGGTCATATCGAAGCGTAAAGGTCAATAGTGGTTGTTGATGAGCGAGCAATTATTGTGCAGTTGCGATGGGTTTTGTGCAGCAAGCGAGCCAGAAGCAGGAGCACACGTTACCTGCAGATTAGCCGATGGTTATTTGGAGCGGATTCGTCGATTATTCTCGAATTTATAGCGCTTCGTGTGAAGGCGCGTGGAGATGGTCTGTTTGTTTTGTAGCCAGCCTTTAATTCTTCTTTAGTGGATAGTACCTACAATTGCAAAACTCAATAAAATGCCACTTAAACCGGCCAGGAAAGACAAGGATACGTTCAGTTGAAGGTATCTTAGCTTTGTTTTGTTACATTTTGACGTTTAGACTATTTTAGACCATGGGAGTTTCGACGACTCATCGCATTAATTTGTCCATGTGAATATAAATATATTCATTCAGTGACACATACTACGTCTGGCTGCCTGTGATTAGTTAGGTGTTTGTAGTCATGAGAAAAAAGTTCTGTATTGTAATAAATATTACTCAAATAAGAATACAATTTACATAGAAGTTAAAATTTGTTATAATGATTAAATTATACATAGTAATTACAAAGTAGTTAAGCATTTGTACACATCGAAGAATTGTGTGGTGTTTTTTAAGATATTTTTGGGATTTACGTACAACTGTAGATAGATCGGTTTTTATTTATATGTGAAGTGTCTGATAAAGCGTTCATAGTTTTAAAAATTACGCTTTTCAAAGTACATTAGTTTTAATGAAGTGCTGTAAAACGAAATGCAAATAGTTACTCCAGGTAATCACAAACGACGCGGGCAATATTTTGAAGAAATGAGACCCTGAAATACAATACATAGCTGCTGCTCAGTCATACGCGGGAAAATATGAACAAAGGAACGAATGGTATCCACTTTTTTCTGATTGGTCGAGTGCTGGGCATTTTTGAACCTATCACAAGACGAACTTGCTCAAGGAAACTGATAGGCGTTAACTGAAAAGTGTTCTGAGTCGTAGCGTCTAAAAAGTTTTTGTTTTTGCAAAAATATTTTCATAAGTATAGAGAGCATAGTTTGTTATAAGAAATTGGGCTATTTCATATTTTAAAGTCTACATGTGTAATTAACTTTTATCATGGTATGTAGCAGATATGACTCATCAGTGTAAAACATGATTTTTCTGATAGTATAATAGAATGGAAATACATTTTTAAAACTATTTTTATTTATCATCTAACGTCCATTATGCTGTTTTAACATATTTTGTATAACTGACAACAGTCGAACCGCCCGTAAGCGAGCACATTGAATACATGTCTAGTTGTCGATAATCGATCTCAGAGGGCGATCAGCGGCCCACCCTCCCAACCCCCCAGGCATGACGGAGTGCGATGCCTTCAATACAGTCATGTGAATGTCGCGCTGTCCACACCTCTTGATAGCGTTTGGACAGCGACCATTTTCACCCCTCCATGTCGCATTGTATATTCATGTGTATTGTAAGTAGTGAGAATATGTTAAGAGGGCAACTGACTCCCAGAGTTGCGGAAATTTGACAGAGATGTTTTCATTAACGTGTCAACCGCTTTTAACACTTTTTTTAGGCACTGACTCCTTTGTAAAACAGGTTTTAACTTAAACAATCTCACTCTATTACATACTCTCGCTATCAAGGTTTTATAGGCACATCTTTTTTGGTCCACATATTAAACTTTTTTTTTCAAAAATAACTCAATCGTTAATAAACAATGGGTCCACGCTGCCCCGGGAAAGTAGCCTGCGAAAACATCCGTTCCTCTTCGCTCTTCG